ACTGTAAAGCTGGTAAAATGCCACACTCTTCAGATTGCTCCTGAGGCTGGATAATGAGGGGCCATTATCACAAAAGGGGATTTTAAACTGGGCCTCACACTCTCTGCCTCATGATTGGCTATTCCTCTCATCTTCAAAAGGCGCCAGGGTCCGTGATAAGTTCAGCTGCTCAGCTCCATCTCAGCATCAGTTTTATTAAGATGGAAGAGCTCAGCTGGAAGGAGAAGCGAGAGATTTTTTTTTTTTACTTCATTAAAGGTCAAAGGTTAAAGTAAAGTTCTTAATTACCTGCTGATACTAAAGTGAAGTTCCTTAATGCTGTTGCGCACCCGTCAGCGTGGGGACGGAGCTGCACAGATAGACTGAAGGGCATCAGACTAAAACTGTCTCGTCTCACCGGGGGAGAAGATTAGGAGAAGTTTTGAAGGGAGGGTTTAGGAGACTGGGGAAAGAAATCCAGCCTGTCTGTTCAGCACTGAGACTGACATGTTCAACGCACTGCAGATAGATTAGTTGAGGGAGTGAACTGACACTAAGCATTAAGAGGTTTCTGCTTATGCAAACAGCGTTGAGCAACGTTCTTGCTCACCACATCACACCACACGACACACACACACAACACTCTCTCTCTCTTTCTCTCTCCCCACTCGCATATTTACACACTCCACATACCATACCTGTCAACCTACTGGTACACATAGTGGGAATACTTTGGTGGTTGTCATAGCGGATTGAGTCACTTCACGTTCTGTTTCTTTTCCCCAGAGGAGGAAGACGACGACGACGACGATGATGATGAAGAAGAAGAAGAGGAAGAAGAAGAAGACGAGGAGGAGGATGAGGAAGAGGAGGATGAGGAGGAGATCGATGTGGTTACAGTAGAGAAGAGGCGCTCCACAATAAACAAGGCGTCACCCATGGCGACGGGCACCGTCACCATCTCTGTGCATCCCAAGAGCCAAGACGGGAGAGGAACCGTCTCAGGGTCCGGCGTGGTGAGCCGGTTCGTCAGCCGAGCCCCCCAGGAGCTGATCCTGAAGAGGAGCTCGGTCCACCAGCAGCAACACAATTACGCAGCCCCCTCACCGTACGCTTCAGATGACGACCCTGCGCCACCTTCAAAGAAGCAAAAGACAGATAGCCCGCGACCTCCCACCAGAACTATCTCCTCCTCATCATCATCTTCCTCCACGTCCTGCAGCTCACTTAACAGCACGTCGGGGTCTCGCAGCAAGCGCAGCGCCAGCGGAGACAGCAGTCCGCGCGGCAGCTCCGACTCAGAGGACAGCGAGCGCCGGCGCAACCACAACATCTTGGAGCGCCAACGCCGCAACGACTTGCGCTCCAGCTTCCTGACACTGCGCGACCACGTGCCGGAGCTGGCACACAACGAGAAGGCGGCTAAAGTGCTGATCCTGAAGAAGGCCACCGAGTATGTGAGCTCGCTGGAGACAGAGGAGACGAGGCTCCAGCAGGAGAAGGACAAGCTTCAGGCCCGCAGGCACCAGCTGATGCGCAGGCTGGAGCAGGCTAGGACTCGCTAACAGACAACCACTACAACACAGAAACACTCACATATACCCTGGTTGACCCCCCTCCCTACCCCCCTTAGCTGCCTCAACTCAGTCTGTCTGAAACACAGTTAGATGCACACACATAGGTCTATACACTTAAGCACAAACACATAGGCCTGCATATCTGTTGTACATGCGCACACACAAACATCTCAGAGGACGTTTATCTTTATGACACACACACACACCTGGAGGAGGGGAGAGGGGTTGCTGGAGGGATGCTCGGACTTTCACTGCCGCCACTTTTTTTGCACATTTGTTGACGTTAAGAATGTTTAGGGTTTACTTTTTCAATCCAGTCACATTGAGGAAACATTAAAAAAAGAAAGAGAAAAGAATGAGGGAGGACACACCTTGTTTTGGTCTTCCCTTCCTCTGGTTTTTATATCATTTCTATTTGTATCTTGTTTTTTTTTTGTACTCACTGTGACACCAGCCTGGAATCAGGTGATTCCCACAGGGATGGGGTGTCAGAGGGCACTTTGCTTGGAGAGTTCACGTACAAGAAGCAGTGCACACTTACTTTGCCTTCACCACTGCAAAAACTGAAGAGACTATGACGACTTAGGCGTTAAGGGTCACATAAACAATGCCACTACAGGTTATCTTTCTCTCACTCCTCTCACACTGGTGCTCAAACCAAGTCAGTGGATGTATAACTGTGCACCTTGCTAGCCGACACTTTTGTATATAACAATAGTGTACAGACAAAATACTCAGATCTGCCTTGTTTTGTAATACATTTTGTCCTTGTTTTTTTTATACATGTCAGGAAGCTGCCAATAACTAGACTGGAAGTTTATATACCTTTAAAAGTACTGTAAGGCCTCAATTTTTGAGAGTCATGAAACTTTGTAATATAACAATATATTGTTTTTTCTTCTTTTTTTCTTTGTATTGTATCATATTACTAATTCTACACACCTTTATGCTTTTAGTGTGAACCTGATACATACTAAATTTGATACTTATATTTTCGTATGAAAATGAGTTCTCGGTAGATATCACTTTATCTCGTCATTTTTCCCCCTTCTATCTCAAATAATTCTTTTGTACAGCAAATGTGTTTTATCCTCATGTACCTGGCCTTTTTTTTTCTTTCTCTTTTGTTAATATTTGTAACTATCGGGTGCATAGAACTGGGTAAACGGATATAAGATGTTTGTTTTTTTCACTTTTAAAATGTACATTTAGTGCTGCAACTCATAGCACTTTGAAATACCTCATTTTGAAAAATAAATAGACATCCTAAAATCCTCATCTTTGCCTTTGTGGATCTTTCAATGTCACCCAAACCGCAAGCATCACCCTTAACCCCTTCACTCTTTCATTTCTCTGTCTTTCTCTGTTAATTTTTCTGTTTGCCTCTACATTTCCGTATTTGTTTTGCCGCTTCTCAAAGACTCATCCTGACAAAGAAAGAAAGAGAGTGTCTTCTGAATCCTCTCTGTCTCAGCACCCTGCGGCTACCTCCCCCTCTGTAGCCTCTCACACCCACCCACACACACACCTACACACACTCTCTTCAAGTGCACCAGAGCACACATCCACACATCCACACATCCACACACACAGTCCAGATTCTGTGAGAGTAAAAGCTGGAAAGATTGAACAGGGATTTCTCATTAGGATCAGACTGCTCCAATTCCATGAGCACAAGGACTGGCTTTGTTGGAGACCAACAAAGGAATTATAGCCACTTACAAACCAGAAACTCACACATACACTTACAGACACACACACACATAATATGCAAGAAGATCTCCCTTTATTTCCACAACTCGCACAGACAGAAGAACTCTTGCAAACACCCACACATGTGCACGCAGAGACAAGAAGAGTGAGGGAGAGAGTATGAGAGCAAGAGAGAGAATATATCAAATAGATATTGGACATGGACATCATCAGAGCTGGATAAAGATTCATTACTCTGAGCCACCTGACAACCTCCCTCTCTCCATATTTCCCTCCTTCCTAGAGCAGTAATGTCATCCAGCCTTATTAAATGACCAAGTGTGAAAAGGGCAACCCGAAAGGAATTAGCACTGTCTGTTCATCTTCATCTCTCGCTCCTTCTTTGTCCTCTCCCTGTTCATATTTACATATTCAAAGATGGGATGGGGTGGGTGTTGGATATAATGTCAGTTAACAGAATCATGTTTGTAGCAATGGTATTAAAACAATTTGGGGTTACAAATGCTAAAATGATAAGTCCTGAAACTATCATTTATCAAGCTAAAATGTCAAATTTGCTGATTCCAGCTTCTAAAATGTTATTTTCTGAATTTCACAGCAAACTGAATTAGGTTTTTTGGACTGTTGGTTGCACAAAACAAGCAATTTGAAGACATAATCTTAAACTCTATGAACTTGTGAGGGGCATTCTTCGCTGCTGTTTGGCATTTTAGACCCAACAAACAATCCAATGATTAAAAAAATTATTTACAGATTAAAGTATTAGTCCGGCATTTTGGGAAATATGAATTTTGCTTCTGTGCCGAGAGTCTGATGAGAAAAACAATACCACTCTCATGTCTGTGTGTTACTTAGAGAGGAGGGTGTTAGCATAGCTTAGCGTAAAGACTTGAAACAAGGGAAAACGGCTGACAGTTTATTAAATCCGCCCAGCACTTCTGTGCATCAGTGGTTGCTTTAGAACATCAATGGTGACAGCAAGACTCCACAAAGTCACTGTTGTTCGTCAAGAAACTGCACACATAACTCCAGGTAAAACCACAAATGAAATGTTCTGTACTGTACATTTCTGCTTGTGTAGCGATTTAAAAAAGAAGATACAGCCTAATTAGTGAGACCTAGTTTAGCCAGCTAGCTTCCAGTTTTTATGCTATGCTAAGCTAATCACCCCCTAACCCCGGCTTTGTAACGCACAGAGATAAGAGTGGTATCAATCTGCTCAACAAACTCTTGGCAAGCAAATAAGCATACTTTATAAAATGTTAAACTATTCCCTGTGAATAACAAATAATGGGTAAAGAAGATTTCACCCAGTATTAAAATCATATTGTCATCTTTCTTTCTGTCTTTCTCGGAAGGATGGCCCACTCTCACACTGATCCCTCCCATTCAGAGAGAGGAGCTTTGAGCCTCGCAGGCCTGTTCATCCCTTCCTCCACTCGTTTGTTGACTGCTTTGCCTCTCTGACCTAGATCTGCATTTTCTCTCACTCTGATTCTCTCTCTCATTATCTAACCCTCTTAACTTCTCACAATCTCCCCTTTATGCCTCTCATTAATTCTCCCTTCCTCCTCCTAAATGTCTCGCTTACTTTTCCGTCCCCTTGTATTTTCTGTCTCCTTCCCTCTCATGCCTCGCAGCTCAGACCAGCAGCCTGTGAAAAGCAGGTCCTATGTGAACACGACCGAGCTGAACGCTAATGCCAAAGAAACAGCATTCAGCTTTGAGCCCGACAAGCAGATATGACACAAACCGAGGACTCCCTGCAACCCCTTTCACTTTGCTGCTAATGCATCTAGTGCCTTCTGTAAACCACAATGCACTGACATAGGCCTGAGTGTCTCCGCAGAGCAGAACAAACACGCACACTGAATACTTCCTAATTGTCATTATAGTGAGTAAACTGTGCATTAACTTTAATCTTCACACTGACATTTCAAATTAGGTGTGGGAAATTATCTTCACATTTGTCCAATTCACCATTTTCCCCCTTCTTAATCCTGTAGAGGTATTTTGACCAAATATGACAGCAAAACATCAGTCACTAACACACACACACACCTCCACACACACCCAGAAGGAGCTGCGATGCTGCCAGGCCAGGTGTGTTTGAGCGATAACAAACCAAACTGACTATGTTTGTTCCGCATGGATGGCCATGCTGTGATGGAGACAGCAAACTGATACCAAACTGATCTCCAATCAGCCTTCAGGCGGCCGCATGATGGAGGAGTCATTACTTTGCGTCATCCCTGCAGGTCAGTGTTTCTTTAACTACTGTATGAGTTGGGATTCAAAATGGTGTGTGGTCTATTTTTCTGATGTTTCCACCCAACAAAATAGGAATGTGCTTTCATTAACCAGGATCATATGAGCTAATTTGGTTTGAGATTATCTGCAGTTTACTTGTCATTTTAAAGGATATGTATATGTGTAATGGTTACTGTTTCATTCCCTTACACAATTCACTAAAAAGGTACTCAGTTCCAGCATTTTGTGATGATTGGAGATGTGAAAACTACACAGAGGTTGGACACAATATGTCAAATGCAATTAAACAAAATAGCCTTGCAATAAATACTACTTCTGTAAGGCTTAAAATGTAACAGTTTCTAAGAGTGTGTCATACTAGTATTGATTGATTTCTTGGTGCATTTTTTTACTGCTGATTTTTATTCATCTGACTTGGGCTGAAAATAACTATTATCTTTATTGTAGATTATTCTCATGATTATTTTTTCCATTTCAGGGTGATATCATCAAATCCCATGTTTTGTCAGGCTAACCATACCAGACCCAAACACCTTCAATTTAGTATCACATATGACAAAGAAAAGCAACAAAGCCCCACAATTGAGAGGCTGGAACTTGGGAATAAATGACTTTTTGATTGAGAAACTGCTTAAATGCATATTCATTATCAAAACAGTCTGGAAAAAAAAGTGTATGTGGATACGATTTTCTCTCAATGGACTTATCATTTCAGTGCTAGTATAAATACTACTACTATTACGGTACATACAATTATATCTGTCTATTCTAACTTCTTATTTGTACATTTATTCAAGCCTGCTGTAATTCATGTAACTACTCATCGTGTTGTCTATAAACTCACACTGCAATGAAAGGTAGGGAAGCAAAACAGATTTTAGGTCCAATATTACGACGCTATCTTGTCTCTCATCTCATCTGTCCCCTTCCATGTGCACCATGAGGGAGGTGTCAGACTGACACAAAGTGCACCTATTCCAGCAATTATCATCAACACATAATTATGATTAATTGCACCTGCCAAGTGAAAGTAAAACGCCAGTTAAGCACTTAGTACACAGAGCACTCGGTATGATGTGTAAGCATGTGCATGTGTTGGGATGAAGAAGAGGAGGTTGTGTCTGTGTGTGTGATGATTCTCTTACAATTTCTCTGCTGCTATATGAAGCTGAATGTTAAAGGGAATAAACACACCAGACACACACACACACACACAGACGAACACACAAGCTCCGCAGGCTGCAGAGGGAAGCATCTCTTCATCATTCTCAGCTTGCAGCCTCAGTTAGGCGAGACCAACCTGCCAACCACTGCCTTAATACAACCTGCTGGTGGATATCATGATACCCAAAGCTCCTGTGTGTGTGCGCGAGAGCAAGACAGAAATGCTTCTAGAGCATGTGTTTGTTTGTGTGCACTTCCATGCCCTTGCCAAGTCAATTACACAGACCCCCCCCCGCCCCTCCTCGGACACATTTACTATGCAGGACACTTCCTGTCGTAGCCTAGCAACAGTCTTGGCTGGCCAGAGTACAGTGGGCACGACACTTAAACATACATACATACACAAGCGCTCATACACACACACGCACAAATACAAAGAAGACAGGGAATAAGAGACTATTGTCCTCAAATGGAAGAGTTGTTATTTAGAAGAAGAGATGGAGGGAGGGAGGGAGGGAGAGAGAGAGAGGCGGAAGAGGTGACTGAGAAATGAGGGAGGGGATGAGCAGACGAGTAGTTCGGCAGGAGAGCTGAATTTCACACTGCATCTGTCCTCAGTGTGTGTTCGCTGGGTGGCCAAGCTGCAAGGTCAGAGGAAATCATCCACATTTTACGTTTAAATGACCGAGTGAATGAGCTGTTTAAAAATAGATCCTTATTTTATTTTTAAGCCTTTGCATTAACCAGAGCTTAAAACCCCTTCACGGGTGGTTCTGTATGTTTTAGTCCATTAACTACAGTCCTTACTGGGGACAATTTTCAATAGCTCACCATATTAAGACTAATATCCCGCATTCTAATTTTATTAATTTCACTAAGATTAAACATCACCTTGCAGAGACTTGAAACTTACTTAAGGCATTCATTATGGTGGATTTTTTATTGTCATCATTGTGATGCAGTTGCAAATAGGATCATTTTAGAAATCTACAGGGTTTCCTACAGTGTTTTAAAAGGAGGTGGGTCCCCTCACGTTAAATAAAGAACAACATCCTGAATAATGAATGCACTTATATGACATATATTTCACACAACAAGTGACATATATTTAATGATTTCTGCTCAGCA